GTACGTCGTCTCTCTCTCTCTCTCTCTCTCTCTCTCTCTCTCTCTCTCTCTCTCTCTCTCTCGTGGCAACCGCCCACTCTCTCTCTCATCCATCAAGTGAAAATATAGCAAATTATAAATGAGTGTACATAGCAAAACCATTTTGCAAATAGCAGCCCCTACAGAGATAATGAACCCAATAGAAAAAGAACTTACTTGTCTAGTCAAATCAACTGTGAACACAATCGAAATAGCATGCTTCCTGAATCCCATAATTCTCTCTCTCTCTCTCTATCTCTGCTAACTTCGTAAGAAAGACTAGTTTTGAGACTGGACGGGTCAGATTATACGAAAAGACCACACACTTGGATCTCAAGTTAGGAATCACCATATGGACCAGTCTACATGTGGTCCTACCGATCAAAATATGCATGTACATGTCCACGCCACACTCCAAACTTTCACCTTATTGTATTAAAGAAAGGGAGCAAAAATTTATGATAAACAAAGCTCCTACTACTACTCATCAACAACAACAATAATAATAATGATAATAATAACTTAAAAAATAAATAGTAATAATAAGGGACTTGTATACAAATGTCACAAACACCTCAATGTACAATTGGGAATTTAGGGTGGATCATTCTCCTCACAGTCTAAAAGGAAAATTTTCTCGAACTTATGATTCCCAACTGCCCAATTATACAATTGATGGCTGAGGGTGATTGTGGTTTTTTTGGTACCAAATGTTAAAAGGTCTAATCATATACGGGTCTAGTTTCTATAAGGCCAGGGCTTTATGAAAACAAAGTAAAGCTTCACCTTGAATCCTCATCCAGAAAGCACATTTAGGCATTAAAAATATCCATGATTAACTCTAAAATCAATTTCCGACACCGGCTATGAATTTTGAAGCTCAAAATATGGTATAGGTCCTGTGGATCCATCAAAACTTACTTTTAGGGCAAAATGGACGGTCTAGACAATGCGTTACAATCCTTTTTTTTTTTTCATAATCACAATGGTCAATGCCAAGATGATCCAATGCCAGAACTGCAATTTTCGGTGAGTTTTGAGGTAAGGCTTATTTTGTTAGGGCTGCAGCCCTATCAAAACATTTTTCATCATGTATTCACAAGAAGAACAACAACAAATGCTTAATATAATACTAAGAAAAACCTTAATTTCATACTTGTAAAAAACAAACGCCAAAATCAGTTCTTCACAAAATGAACTTCTAGATAGAGCTCCAGAACACATCATGAAGCACACAATACAGGGAGAGAGAGAGAGAGAGAGCGAGAGAGAGAGAGAGCGAGAGAGAGAGAGAGAGAGAGAGAGAGAA